TAATGAACTCTGAGGAATAATTAAAAGTAGACTTTTAATTTTAGTTTAGTTAAAAGCAACCCCTATTGCGAACCCATCATCAAATACGAGTATTGACAACCTGGTTGATGGACGTCTCCTGAGTCGGGTGTAGCAGAAGCCGTTGATAAAACCCTACCACCTGGCTCGCTCTGCAACCCTTAACTAGGAGAAGACCAAATTACTGTGGATCACAGGATTTGCATTTCACTGAGGGCAAAATTAGAGTGCCTATCCATGGACCACAGACTTACATGATGTGGCTGTGTTCCACCCTTCTAACCCTAACTCTTTCTTCTCTCCTCTTGTTCACTGTTCTCCACCCAATCCACTTCCACGCCAGGCTGTTTGCATTTGCTAAGTCTTCTTAGGTGAACATTGTACCCTCCCCAAATCTGTGCAAATGGTTTTTCAAGGTTTTACTCAAATTCCATCTCAACAAAAAATACTTCTTTTAACCCCCTACATTGGTCATCTCATATTTCCAAACACATTGCATTCTTTTGTTTTATTTTTAAAGACTTGTTTTTAGGATGATAATATGTACTGTTTGGGTTACTTGCTTTATCTTCTCTTGAAACAGAATGTAAGATCCCTGAATTAAACTCGAATGTAAGATCCAGGAAAGCAGTCTCTTTTCCCAGCCAGGTTGTTGTTGGACCTGCCCTGGGTCTAGAACAGAGGCAAGCACCTCATGAGGTTCATGCATGTTTCTGAGAGTAATAGATGAATGGGCTCCAGTTCTGTGCCTGGAATATATATCATTTTAAGGCACAAAAATATTGACTGAGACATTCAGATCTACATAAATTAGCAAAAGCTGGGATTAAAATCCAGCTTCCTTTTTATTGTTTCCTGTCTGGGTGTCAGAAACAGGAATTCTGTTGGGAAGTGGAGATATAAGCCAAGAAAGGTCAGACCTGCTGCATAGGGAGAAACTTCTTTTCAAAACTAATGAAAATAAACTATGGACTCAGACAACTGGAAGAAGGGATACAATACTCACTACCACCGAGTCGATTCCAACTGAGTGACCCTGTAGGACAAGACAGAACGGCCCCTGGGGGTTTCCGAGACTGTAACTCTTGAGTGCAACTAGAAAGCCTCATCTTTCTCCTACAATGCCGCGGTGGTTTTGAACCGCTGACCTCGTATTAGCAGTGCAAAGCTGAACTCTCTACAACACCAGGCGCCTGCTCTTTCTCTCATTGAAAGAGGTATATTTCTCCTCCTGTAAAATATAGTGTTTACTTATCTAAGCAAGTCCAGGCTGATTCCCATTGTGCTTTTTTAGGGTGAGCAATCAGAGCATCCCCAAATATCCTATTTGACACTCATTTCCCAAGTCTTTCACCTGCAAAAACAAAAAAAGACTTGTGACTTGTGACATTTTACTCAACATCATCCTTTCCAAAATGATAGGATTGATTACTTGGTCTTCTTTGCTAGCAGTGAACTTGCTTTGTCTTCTTTCTTGGGGTTTCAAAAATAAATAACCTTTTCCTTATTGCCTGTATCTGTCCTAGATGTCCTTTTATTGGGTTCACAGAATACAAATGGGAAAAGGTTATTACTAGACAGGGTTGTTTAAAAATGAAAATCAACCTAATACATGGACTCAGACAACTGGAATAAGGGATATAATATTTATAAAACTGAGTAGGAGGTTGCAATCATTGCTCTAAAATAGAGCATTAAAAATTAATTCAGAGCAAACCTGCCTGTGCTACAGCAAACCTCTCTTTCATTAAGGCAGCACTGCATGTTTCTCCACAATTAGTTCCCCCAAATGGGCAAATATCTTGTTAGAACTGAGTGTTCTGCAAACTAGAGACAGGCTACCTGAGGCATGATTTAAACTTGCTTTTAGTAGCAAAGCTTTACAGACCTTTAATTTTGTACCAATTAATTGGGAATCTTGACATTTCCCTACTCAAGGGCAAACCTCGAGTACTTTGAGGGAGGCTTAATTCACATGTTTCGTATTCGTCTTCATTTGATGACTCCAAGCATTGCTGTATCATTTGATTAATTCATATGTTACAGAATATTAAGTCTCGGGAAACTGTGGTTGCTGGTTATAAGTTACACTTCAGACATTTCCATTTCAAAAGTTTGGGTTTTACATTTCACAGGCATGTTTTCCCCCCAGTGGTGTCAGTCTCCCTCACTCCCCACATCCAGCAAGGCCCTCCTCCTGTGGCAGGCTTCCCGATCCTAGGTAGCAGTCAGTACCAGTTTTAATCAGAACATCGTGGAATGCACTTAGAATAAATACACTCACTGATATAGACTTAAGAATATACTATAACATATTTATAAATATACTATAACATATTTATAAATAGTATAATTATAAATGTCATATAAATATACCTATGATGTGCTTCTTAGAGTATATGAATACTAACAACAAAATTGTTTTGCAAATCTTTCTACATTGAACTACAACATTCTTGCTTATGACATTACCCTTAACTGAGCCTTTTGGGGGGTTTACTCTTTCTTCTTTTTTTCTCTCTTTCTTTTACTGACTGCTTTAAGATCAAAAGGCTATTTATATAGGTTCAAAAAGTTATTTATGTAGACCCACAAATGTCAATTACCACATTATTATAAATGAAACACCAGATATTTTAGAAAAATCAACTGCTAATAAAACACCAGGAGCAAACAATGATGGCAACATATGTACAAAAGTGCTTGACACGATGGATGGATGGACTGTGAGAAGAGCTGAACGGGCCCCCAATAAAATGATTTAAAAATAAAAAAGTAAACATTTTTAAAAAGCCGCCAGGAGCTAAAAAAACAAGAGCAGGCAGGCACTGGGGGTGGGGGATGGGAGGAAGCAGGAGGACAAAATAATGTTATTAGAAACTTCATTGCTATTGGGTAATATTGACAGCTCTGAACAGAGAGCATTAAAAGACAAGGTCCCTGAAGACAAACTTGTGCATAA